GAGAGAGAGAGAGAGAGAGAGAGAGAGAGAGAGAGAGAGAGAGAGAGAGAGAGAGAGAGAGAGAGAGATGTGTGTGTGTGTGTGTTGTACATGTTCGTTACCGACAACTCCACAGAAAAAGAATGACTGTGCGAGACTGTTTCGTCGGACTTCCACCGGCTGATCAGGAAGGTGAATCTGGACAGGAAGTGGATGCATTTGACGGATGGATAAGGACTCAGCTAGAGAGCAAGTGGATGCATTCGACTGATGGAAAAAGACTCACCACGTCGCCCAGAGTTAGCGATACCCCTGAGAAAAGAGGTCGTCGACCTTAATCACACCAACCCTGCAATAAATCCAGACAAACTGATACGTGTGTGTGTGTGTGTGTGTGTGTGTGTGTGTGTGTGTGTGTCTGTGTGTGTGTGTGTGTATTGGTCAGCCACTAGGCACATATGCTGCTGGGGACTTCGTGAGGTATTATTTTGTACTTTATCTCCTTTTGGATAAGGTAAAGACAGCCGGCGTTGCGTGGAAACTTCGTGGACGACGCGCCTGCACTCCATCGGTCATCATCGCGCCAAAGAGGAGTGGGGAAGAACCGACGAAAACAGGAGAGAGAGAGAGAGAGAGAGAGAGAGAGAGAGAGAGAGAGAGAGAGAGAGAGAGAGAGAGATTGTGCGGCGGGGGGGAGGGGGGTGATCGCGCCGTTGGCGGTTTGGTCGGTATCTCCATTTGGATAAAATTCGCATGCACGTGCCTCCTTACGTTGTAGAAGTGTGTGCGTGCGATTCACGTGCATATCAAGGGCGTGAGCTGACGGCAGAGCTCGACCAGAGCGGCGGTAATAGCCGGAGAGAGAGAGAGGAGGCAAGGAGGAGCGAGAGAGGTGGGTGGTCGCCGTTGACCCAAGTGCGTGACCGTGCGCGCACTGAGGGCGGAGCGATGGCGACGACGGCTGTCCGCACGGCGGCGGCGGGTTTGACCGTTGGGGCGGCGGCGGGAAGCGCGGCACAGAGCGATGGCCTGCGGAGGAGAGTACACGTGGTGGAAGTGCGTGCCGCGTCTGCCAGGAAGGGCGCGCCGAGTCCGAATTTCTTGAGCTCTTGCTGCATGTCCAGCAAGAGGTGTGCGGCGCTGTCGGGGCCACGTGGCGGCGTTGCGACGGCGGCCGTCTTCGCGCAAGCGGCGGCGGGCCAGCAACACCGCGCTGGTGATGGCGGCGCTGCTGCCGCGGCTCACCATGCGCCGCCGTCTGGGGGCGGTCTTTTAAGACCACAACACGCGCATCTTAGCGGAGCAGGAGGGGGAAGAGGACGAGGAGGAGAAGTGGCACCCTCGCCCACTACGATGGGCCGTATGCACCGTATGCATACGGACCATCGCTGCCCGACTCCTGTGGCGGCGGCCGTGTCTGTGGGACAGGAGGAGGCGGCGCTGTCCGACACCGTGAATATTGCCGATGATGTCACGCAGTTGATTGGCAGCACCCCGATGGTCTATCTGAACCAGGTGGTGGAGGGGTGTGTGGCCAGTGTGGCTGCCAAGCTGGAGCTCATGGAACCGTGCTGCAGCGTGAAGGACAGAATAGGCTACAGCATGATTAAGGACGCGGAGGAGAAGGGACTAATTACCCCGGGAAAGAGCGTGCTTGTGGAACCGACGAGTGGCAATACCGGGATCGGGTTGGCCTTCATCGCGGCGGCGAGGGGGTACAAGCTGATCCTGACGATGCCGGCCTCCATGAGCATCGAACGGCGCGTGCTGCTCAAGGCGTTCGGCGCGCAGCTGGTCATCACCGACGCCGCCAAAGGCATGAAGGGAGCTGTGCAGAAGGCGGAGGACATCGTTCAGGTCACTCCCAATGCCTACATGCTCCAGCAGTTTGAGAACCCCGCGAATCCCAAGATCCACTACGAGACCACGGGGCCGGAGATCTGGAACGATAGCGCGGGAAAGGTGGACATCTTCGTGGCGGGGATCGGGACCGGAGGGACCATCACCGGGGTGGGTCGGTATCTCAAGGAGAAGAATCCCAACATCCAGGTGATCGGGGTCGAGCCCAGCGAGAGCAACATCCTGTCCGGGGGAACGCCCGGGCCGCACAAGATTCAAGGGATCGGGGCGGGTTTTGTGCCGGGCATTCTGGACGTGGACGTCCTCGATGAGGTGATTCAGATCTCCAGCGATGACTCGGTGGAGATGGCCAAGCAGCTGGCGGTGAAGGAAGGGCTGCTGACCGGGATCTCGTCCGGCGCGGCCGCCATCGCGGCCATTCAGGTGGCCAAGAGACCCGAGAACGCAGGCAAACTCGTTGTTGTTGTTTTCCCCAGTTTCGGCGAGCGGTACCTGTCATCGGTGCTCTTCAGTTCGATCCGCGAGGAGGCCATGAGCATGGAGCCAGAGG